CCACCACCACCATTACCACCTCCGACTCCTCATATTGCAAGAAGAGCAAGTTTACAAGATCATAAAGTCGAAGATCGCAAAAGAGGTCCATTTGCTTCTCAAATTTCTATGACAGATGTATTAAAAGATATTGATAGTATTAAATTAAAACCAATTGCTAGGTAAATTATTTTTTATTTTATTAATATAGTTTATATATATATACATTATATAATATATTGATGATATAACCAGAAAAGAAATGATTTAATACTTAAAAATATATCAAAAATATAAAAACTTTTTCTTTTGAAGTTTAATTCTTTATTAGAATCATCTTTGTGGTTGAGTCATCATTCACTCTAGTTATAATATTTCCTGAACTTTAGTTGTACAATTGCATTTATATATATTTTTTTAGATCACCTGGAGGACGACCTCTTCGTATAAAACGAGACAACAGTCCATGTAATGATTTGCAAGAAATACTTAGAAGACGTTACATTGCAATGAATTCAACTGATAGTAGAAACTCTTCAGCTAATTTGACATTGAATGACTCTTTCTCAAGTGATGTGTGAAAGTAGATTGAATGTTTATCAATGTGTGGAATGAAGGTATCATGGGACATTGTGAATGATATTAATAATAAGATAATAAGTTTGATTAATCAGTTTGGTTGCAATATTTAATATGTAGTTATAGATTATATAAATAACAAAATGAATCTATCGAACATTTCTGAACTTATGATTATTGATATTTTGTAGTATCAGAAATTAATTTTTAAAAATTAATATCTTTTTTTTAAAAATTATTATGTATACATACGTATATACGTATACATATATAACCAAAGATAATATATTCTATATTGACATTGATAAAAATATTGGATTGTAAACTGATAAAAAAAAAATTGATATTTTTAAATTTTCATAAAATATAACTATTTTTTCTTTCAATAAATATATAATACTTATAGCATATTATTAAAGTTGTGGAAAAAAAATTATTAAAATGTATGTCATATTTTATATATTAAAAATTTATATTTTTTTACAAATTTAAATAATTATACTAAACATCAGTAAATTATGTTTGAACTTAGTATAAAATCTAGAATTTTATTTTATGATTTTGTTTTAGAATTTGTTCTTTTTATGAAGAGCAATGAACAACTATTTTCCATTCTGTCTAAACCTTTAAATTTACAGAATATTATTTTAGAATTTTTTTGTTTTATAAAATATAAAATATAAAATAGTTATATCAAAAATTTATTTAATTTGCTTTAATAATAATTTTATAATTTTTTTGAAAACAAAAATAATGCATATTTAAATTATTCTATAATATTAATATTTTAATAATAAGTAATAATATAAGTAAAATAATTATTGCTTAAATAATAATAATTTTAATAGAGAAAATTATTTAGTAATGAAAAATTATTTAATGTATATTCTGTAAATAGAAATATTTAAATATTTTTTCATGAAGCACAATTTTTTTTAAAATTATTTATTATAGACTAATTTCATATAAGTTGTGGAAATATATATAATACATATATAATAAAATTATAATAGTTACATATTTTAATTTTGTAAAAAATTAATGATATTATAAAATTTTCTGCTATATATATGTACAGTTTACAATTCAATATTATTTAGATTTATTTTTTAAGAAAAAACCTTATTTTTGTTTTATTATAATAAAAAAGAAATAGATTTTAATTTAATGTAATTTAATGTAGTTAGTTAATATGTAACAAATTTATGTCATTTAACATTAAGTTCATTTAAATTTTATCTAATTTCTTAAACAAGGTTGTTGTGATATTAAAAAATCATTTCATATTTTATATTGTGCCATAGAAAGCTATACGAATATTCTCAATATAATATAAAATCATTAGCACAGGCTAGTTAATATAATAATTAATAATAGTGATTACTTTATTAAAATATACTTTCATAACTATAAAGGAATGAATATTCAATATGTGCACGCATAATGAAGATGCATAATGAAGATCACGAACTTTATTCTTTAATATTAAGATCTTGATACATATTTTGTGATAAATTTTAAGTTTATTCAACTTTCAGTTGCTTTTATAAAGAATTTAAGAACTATAATATTGTATAAGAATTATAATTTTGATTGATTCAAGTTATCATTCAAATTAATTTATAAATATTCTTTATAAAAATAACATAAAGTTCATATTTTTGATTTTCTCATATGAATGCATGTAAAGAGTCTCAATTAGAAAAGATATTATAGCAGAGACTGAGTGTACTTTAAAAATATTGTATGGAAGATCTGTTTTATACATGAAGCTTTTACCAACGATTAAAAAATAAATGTTATTGTTAAACAATAAACAATATATTTTTTTCTAGCATTTTTCTACCTTATTTATAAAAACATGAAATATTAAAAATTATAATAATTATCTTCAACACACAAAATATTATGATGTTCTTTTAATTGTTTTATTATATTTATTTGCATAAAAAAACAATATATATATTATATATTATATATTATTACCACAAAAATAATTGAAAAATAATTGAAAAATAACAATAAATATTAATATAATGTTTTGTATATTTTATATTTTATACATAATATTGAATTTATTATTAAAATTGATTTTTGATTATTTAAAAAACGATAGTTTATCTAAATAAATATTAATATAATATTTCAATGATCAAAAAATATCAATTGCAATTTAATGTAATTAATTTTAAAGAAATATATTTAACAATATTTTTGAAATAGAATTACTAATAAATTTTGGATTAAATATATTAAATGTATATATTTAAAAATATTTTAAACTTTATTTTTTTCAAAAATCTAACAATTTCTTAAAAATATAAAAACTAAAATTTTAAGAAAGATAAGAAATTTTAATTAATTCTTTACGACGTAATTAAATTTTTTTTAATGCATCAATTGTTTAATAATTATAAATATATAGAGACATCTTTCCATCTTGTATAGATCATCATTTTGAACATTTAATAATCCTCTAGAAACTTCCAATATCTCAATGAAAATTTATTACACAATTTCTCATGGTCTACTGAACTTATTACAATTTTTGTCTAATAATTATTGATGCTTTTGTTGATTTTTGTTGATTACTAGTTATTATTAATAAGTTGAAAGTTTTGATATTGTATAAGAGTATAAAGGACTAAGAGAGGGGAACTTTTAATGAGTTTTACGAATAAAGGGTATGAGAGGATTTCCTTATATAAAGCTGTTTCAAAGGATCTTGGCTGACAGTATCTTGAAATCACAACATTGAACATTTTATGTTGTGTTCTAAGTATTGTTGCATAAAGCTATTAAGATATAAGGTATGTTTATGTATATTTTTAAGGTATATTATTTATATATATATTATATATATATTTATATATATTTTTTATATACGCGTTTATATACACGTATATAAAATTGCGTTTTTTTTGTGATTTCGTTTTTTTTTAAATTGTAAATTTAAACTATTGCTTAATAATCATAAGTCTCAATTTTTTTTCATTTTATTAATTTCATTGTGATTTAATTAAGATTGTGATTTTCATCATTGTTCAAGATAGAACAGTATAAAATAATGAAGAAGCATTTTGCAACTTTTTAACAATAAGTTTGAAAACGTCTTGTTTCTATGCGACAAAGATGCTGGTCACGTTTCTTATCCATAAGACACTTAGTAGCACTTACTTTTATCTTAATGACCAGGGATGCGTGTAGAGTTAATGGTTCTTTTAAAATTAGCACGTGGAAATGTACGAAGATACTCTAAAATTTTTCGAAAAAATCTCATGTGGCACCGCATGTCAGTGAACGCGGAGATAAATGTATAGTTTTTCTGTCTTTTTTTTTTTTATTCATTGAGCCATGATTTTAAAATATTCATGAAAATAAGAGGAATAGCCTTTATTTAATTAAGACATTATCCAAATTGAATATGTTAAAACTTCGATTGGGCCACGTGAATTTTAAATAAATGCATTTTAACATTTGTGAAATCATTTGCAAACCATCTTTTTTGGATAAGAATGCAAACGAGCAATTTACGAGTCTTTTCGCAAAGAAATATCATTATAATATCATTATCGAACAGAGAGCAGTGAACACAGTAAATCACGAAATAATTAAAAGTTATGGTTTTCTTGGATTTCTTACAGTTGAATATTTTGTGATGATTTCTTTTCTGTGAAATCTTTTTTTTTATTATTATTATTAAGAAAAAAATTATGTTTTTAGCTAGAAACTAATTTTTTTCAGTTACAAGTTAGATTGCACTCGTTACATTGTTAAAATAAATTACATTGTTAAATAAAAGTAAAACAGGTGACCGAGAAATCGAATAGTCTGGCTTATGAGATCTTAAATTGTTGGAATGGATCATTGATCCAGCAAGTCAACCGTGACACTTGAACAATCCATTGTTTTATATTAGCACTCGTTGCGCATCACGAGTTAAAACTGCGTTTTTCGTTCGTTCGACCACAGAAAAAGATGTGAATTCAAACTGGTGAAAAATAAGCCTGATCGGAATTCGCAATACACTTTTCTTTTTGATTTATGGCGTAACAGTACTTGATAAATACGCACGATATCAATTTCTATGACAAGAAAAATTAAGTTCATAATGATTTCTACATAACTTTGAAAAAGTATCAATTATCTATTTGGAATCAACAAAGAATTTTTGGCATCCATTCTATATTTTTTAAAATGTTTAAGATTCTTTATAGAGGTATTATTTAAATTCTTTTAAATTTTATTGAAAAATTATAATCGATGAAACATCATATCAAGAATAGAAATGTAATGATTTTTTTTTTTCAATATTAAGGAAAGAAGAATTAATTTCTATATATTTTCCCTTTTTTAAACGGATAGTATATCATTTTAAAATAAACATATTTTTTTCAATATTTCAGATGGTTAACTCTCAAATCCTAATTTTGTTCATCTTATCATTGACCATAACGATAGTTATGTGTCAAATGTTTACGTATAGTCATGGCTGGACAAATGGAAAAAGATCCACATCGTTGGAAGAACTTGTGAATAGGAATCCAATTCAATCGGACAATGTTTTTGCCAACTGCGAGTTACAGAAATTGAGATTATTGCTTCAAGGAAATATCAATAATCAAGTAAATGAAAAAAAAAAAAAAATGGGAAGAAAATATTTTCTTCTTTCGCATTGTAATTGAAAACTTTTTATTTTTACAGCTGTTTCAAATGCCTTGTGAACTGCTTAACTTTCCAAAAAGAAGCTTCTCCGAAAATATGATCAACGATCATAGACAACCTGCTCCTACCGATAATAATTATTAATAATATCAACATTGTAATTTTTAGTCGCAAAAGCTTAATCGATTACGCGTTATTTATCACCAAATAAAGAATATCTTCAACGAAAATTTTTACCATCTCGTTTATTTATCACTTATTATTATAACTCGTGTTAAGATTAAAACATTACAGCCAAATTCGAATCTATATACATACAATATATATATATAGTTCGATATTTATATATCTATATATCGGTAATTTCAATTTCAATAAAGATATAAAAATTTTATCAAATGCTAAAATTCTTCAAGCTACGCGAAAAACAAGAAAGAAGAAAATAAGGAAGAAGGATAAAAAAAAAGAAAAGAAAAAAAAAGATAACGCATTTTACATTCGAGTGAAATTTAAATTTAATTTGATCCATCTTGGAGATTGGAGAAAAACAATAGCAGCATCGAGTGTTACTGAACTTTCCTGTGACGCTTTTTCTTTCGCTTCTTCTTCGTTTCCGATACAACTTGTCTTCGCTTGATTTCCCACACTCGTTTCTATTTTCGTCGGCTCAATTACAGGCCACGTTCCTATCGTCGATCGTGATCAATTATTCAATCCCGTGTATAGTTCACCTCCACCAGTATATATAATACAGGTTCGATTTAAAGCGTAATCGTTCATCAATCATGGTTAACGGGCAAATTGTTTTTATCGGAATCGCCAGCATATCTGGATTTGTATTAATTATCGAGTTCTCCTCGCGGGTATCCGCGGCCCATCCAGTTTTCATCGGGTCCATCCGAACGGTTAATTAAGTTTTCGCTGTCCTAATTGGACAGACGGTCAATAGGATAGATCGCGGCGGGTTGGTACTGCACGCCGTAGGGGATTTTGTCTGTCAACGGAAGATGGAGTGAAACCCTGGCGAATAGAGACACCTGCTGAGTCCATGGATTATCCCTTAGGACAACTTATCTCCAACTGCAATTCGCCGCCTGAAATTCGAAGACTTTCTATTTCAGTTGTATGCTTGATAACCAATCATCATCGGATGATTTTTATGTTTGCGACGATTAAGGAAAAGATTAAGGGGTAAAAAATATTTTCTACGATTTTTGAAAGGGAAAATTGAGTCAAAAGCCAAGTTTATATAATCCTTCGAATTCTTTTCCGTCGAACGAAGAAAATATTTTTCTGTCAATAAATATATTTGAGATGATATTAGTTTTTCATTTTGTCGTATACCTCCAATATTGTTCAATAACATGATTCGTTTTTGCCCGATTATAGAATAAATCGTTGATCGAGAATTGGCTGCTAATTTTCGAGGATGGGAACGGGAGACCACCGATGCAATTGATAAAATGCGGTGCTAATTATAAATGCAAGAATAATGGCGGTTCACGTGCGAGTGTGTTTCACGTTACAGAGAAGAGAAGCACTCATGGTTATTAGTTGATAGTGTCAGGACGCGTATAACTATCATGCACGGGCAATGCACTTAAAACTTGGCTGTTAATCAGAAACCAATTACGGGAGGCGGGACGAAATGAGTTTAATCGCATTAAATATTAAAGCGTCGTCACCGTGCCATGGGACTGGCACCAACAACCATAGGTGACCCTCTTCCTCCATCCAGTCATGGAGCAACCACACACCGCCACGTGCCCGTACGAAAACGCTTCTCTGCCTTAATACCCCCGGGAATAACCGAACAACCCTACGCCAATGTCCTTTATAGGGTGGTGCTTGCCGTGCCTGCAATACGCATGCACGACCACTGCATTTGCTGATAATGCTCTTTTATACGCCTGCGTGTGCGTATATCATCACACTTTCTCTTTCTTCTTTTTTAAATACATTTCTTTCCTTTTCTTCTTTTTCCTGTTAACATATGAAATTCTTATTTCGATCGAAATTTTTGTAAAATATATTTGTAAAATTTTGTAAATATATTGATAAATAGATGTACGAATCTCTGATGCGCAACTTACTCTCAAAATTTAGCTGAAAGCAGTGATTTTCAATCGTAAGAGGACCAATTACATTTTCTGGTAAAAATAGCATAAACGTAAAAGAGTCCTCTGATAGCACTTGCGTCCAGATTTCCGGTCTCGTGCCACGTGCATATTTCAGATCGGTTTGTTTCGCGGATGGCAACTAGAAAATCCGAGGTAATATTTCACCGAGATATCACGTCGCATTACGAGTTTTAAATTTACGTTTAGCTCGCGACACGAAAACGAATATCAACTATACAGAAGAAGGTTGCAACATAACACCGGTATAAATACATAAAATCGGGCAATCATCCTAAATGGGGAAGCCTCCTAGTGCGAGGAACATCGTCTTTTTCGACTTGTCGTCTGTCGGCTGTCGTTTGTCGCGCGACAAGGGAGCCCTCGTATGATACCAAGCACGAAAAAGTACGAAACAAACCGTTTGACGAGCATAATTCCATCCTCGACATCATATTTGTTCGTTGCCTTTATTACTTTCACGTTGGATGGATTGTTTTTCTTGATCCTTGAAACATTTGATCGTATTATCGGTTCTAGTTTGAGTAGATTCTTTTTGGACGATGTTTCGATCATATTGTGGAAGATGTTTAAAAATTATTACTGCTCTATTATTACTGCTAATGAAAAACAATTTCTTTCAATATATACATATATTGAAGATTTTATTCTATGAAATATATCATTATATGTTTTCGATATGTCGAAATATATTTTATATATACTTTTACCTTATATTTCTTATTTTTGCATTTTTTCTTCCTTTTCTTTTTCTTCTTTGAAATTTTCTTCTTTTTCTAGTTTTCCCAATATTGTTGGGAACTTTTTTTCCATTTTAAAAAATTTATATCACTGTTTTCTTTATAATACTTTCGAAATAATTATTTCTAAAGATCGTAAAATTGTTGCAGCCTTTCTTCTTTAACAGTTCTATGAACTGTCAATAAAGTAGATTCAATGCATTTTGCTTATATGATATAGAAGAATTGAAAAAATTTG